TGCACAAAGACAAAATTTTGGAGATTATATCTTGGCTAGGAAATTTGAAAGATTTGATAGCCATCTTCTTTTATCTCCTTTATAATGGTATTTGCAAAATATTGTTTAACATTTTTTGCATATTTCCAATCTTTGCGTATTCTTTAATCTCATATTTTTCTCTCAGTGCAGCGGTGCTGATATTTTTGGCCGCCTTCAAAGTCGTCCGCGTGTTACGTATTAAAATTAGTATGCAATATTTTTGTTTCAAATGAGGGCCTGAGCGAGAAGGAAAGAGGGGAGAGATAGCGGGCGGGGGAGCGGTACAGAAGTTCATGTTGCGCTTTTCCCCTCTTTTCCACCCAACCACCCAATAGCCCCCCAAACTTTCCCTTCCACGTACCGCCTGCGTTTATTTTTGAAGTGTTGAAAATAAACCGTAAATAATCGCGTAGCTCGGTCGGTCGGGCAGCTTTACAATCAATTCACTTGCACACACGTCCGTCTATATATATATACTTATATATATATATGTATATTCCTCCGATGGATATGAGCATGCACGTCTATATGCGCCTTCATAAGTATCTGTGTTTATATTTATAACAAGTTGCTTGCACCCGTCCAACCAAGCAGAAGCAAAAATATAAAAAAAGCAAAAATAAAAATGAAAATGAGAAAAAAAGGCAGAAGCAGCAGCGGCAGCAGCAGCAGCGGCAACAAATTTAAAAATTATTGGTAATAAAAATCCACCTTCACTACCCCGCACATTATGCATCGTAAAATCTGTATATTTAATATATGTTTTGAGTGCGCGCCGTGGCTTTTGTGTGATTTTAAATATTTTTAAATGAATTATATAAATATGCATAAGTTGGCGTTTAAAGAGATCACAAATCTGGCATTTAGCTGCCCCGCCTCCTTCGATATTTTGATAACTCAGCAGGAGGTTGACCCCCCAATATGGCTGTTCTCGATTATTCACCCAAAGATGGGTTTTTTTATTCATGCAATTAGCTTTTTATTGGCCGGTTTAATAGGGGCAAAAATATGAGTATCAGATATGGTTTTGGGAGAGAGATTTCAGGTGCCAGATGGCAACACTGATTGCTGCTAATGAGGGCTATAAACTTTTTTCGGACAGTGTCATAGAGTTTTATGTGCAGTTCGTTTGTTAAAAGATAGAACTTTTGGCTTCGAGACAATGGGAAACTAATTTTTCGAGACATCAACACTTTCTGTATTATGTTAAAGAGAATGAACTATAAGGAATTTCCTATCATTCCCTTGAGATATAATTTTTTTTATACATTTCTTACATTTCCCAGGCAGAAGTCCCACAATTTTAACCACATTTTCCCTCGCTTGACTTTCGTTTGTATTAAATTAAATTAAATTGGGAGTTGCAGAAACAGATGGGTTGCTTCCAAAGAAGAACATCACCCATGGCTCTTCCTCCTGGCCAGTGGTTGGCCTTTTCTGGTTGGACATTCTGTTTTATTCTCTTTTTATGACAAATTGTCACGAGTGCATTGATGCAAAAAACTTAAATGAAGCGACATGCTGTTGAAATGTCCGAACCGCCTTTTGGCCCTAGACATTGCATGGCCTGCAGATGCGGATACACAGATATGGGCTTATAGAAGCGCTCTGCACTGGCAGAAAGTATGTACTATTAAAGGTCCTTAGTCATAGGATAAATATGATGGCAAACATGGATTTCTTCATAACTAACTTACTGCTTTATAAAATGGATTTTAAGGATTGCATTTAGTAAAGAAAATCATTTAACACATATCAAGAAATTTTTTCCAGTGTACAGTATTGCGTGCACTTGCAGATACTCAAGTTGTTGGTATGTGTTTGTCTTTTTTTTTTTGTATCTTTCGGGTTGTGTGCTCCGTCATATCAAAACAAGAGCAGCATAACAACAATGCCTTAACTCAGGTCCGCTCTGTTCTTGGGGACTTGAAAACTAATATGGGCTTGGAGGACATTACCCAGAAGTGACTAAGCCCGCAGCATGGCCTAATATCCCCCTACGCCCCTCTCTCTCTCTCTCTCTCTCCAATGCCCCTTTATCCAAATGTCTGGTGGATATCCCTGCTCTCGGATTACAGGGCCAGAAGCAATTGAAAACTGAGCTTGACAGTTTTTTCGGTTCTGTTTTTGCTGTGTTTTATTTTCGGTTTATGAATTGCCCGAAAAACGAGAAGAAATTGAACTTGGCTGTGCGGCTGTGCAGTGAGAGAAAGTTGGGGGTGTGTTTAAATTATATTTTATATAGATTATGGGTTAAGAATGATCACATCCATTAACACCATGGAAGGTTTCCAGAATATCTTTTATGCTGGAAATACTTTTCCTTTAAGAAGACAATCTTTTTGAAACTACAACTAGAATTACTACACATTTTCTCTCTGTGTGTCTTTGCCCCCATCTAAATACACTTTTTCGGTTATTTTGGGTTTTTGTTATATAGCTGCTTACCGTTAGAACGGAGTCTGGCTTTGTCTGGGCATTTGTGGGTCTTCCTGGAACCGTAAGCAATATGCTCGAAAGGGTTTTTTTTTTTTTAAATTTCTTCTGGGGGGCAGAACCAGTACGGGAAATTGTTGATCGGAGGAGGAGGAGGAGGAGGAGGTGGAGAAGGCAGAGGTGGAGGCGAATTGTTGGCGCAATTAAATGTGCAACCAAGAAACGGCAAGAAACGAAGGCAACTCTTTGTTGCAATAATTCAATTAGCACTCTTTCGGTTTCGTTTCGTTTCATAAATATATTAGCTGGGGATCTGTAATTTCCCCCACGTTGTGAGCTCGCTCGCCTCTTTCTTTATATTTTTTTTTGTTAATTAATGTGCAGTTATCATGCAACCCGATTAACAGTCGAGTGCTGCTGCCGTTGCCGTTGCCGTTGCTGCCACTGCCACTGAAACTGCCTTTGCTGTAGTAATTGCAACTTGTTTGTTATTTGTTATTTGTAGTCCAAGTCAGGCAGTCAGCAGTCAGCAGTCGCCTGCCTGTCACTGACTCTGTTCTTGTTGTTGTTATCTGCCAGGAATGCTAATTATAAGATTAGCGCCGTAGCCCAATCTATGCTTGTATATATTATATATACTTATACTTATTTCCCTGGCATAGTGGGTATCTCTGGGTGTCTGACTATCTCTGTATCTTTGTATCTCCATCTGCGGCACTTGGGTGATAGCGAACACGCACACGACACTTGACAATGTCGCTGGAGGATTCTGGCGGTGATTGTTGGTGAAGGTTGTTCGCGGTGTAGGTTTTCTTGTTTTTCTCGTACATTTTCCATAAGTTGTCTTCATTTTTCTTATTTTATATGGTGTAGTAATGGGTGTTAATGTGTGTTTGAGATCTTGGCTAAAGAAGTGTTGCGAAAAATGTTGTCTTACTTTGTGTTGTGTAAAACATTGTTTTAAATCAAGCTAAAAGTTGGTTTAAATATCATAAAAAACTCATAAAGCCACATTCCTGAAAAGGAATTTTTAGTATAAAGTTCGGCCACCACCCTAATAAATCACTTTCTTGCGGTTTCAAGCCTAAGATTGTCGATACTACTGATTTTCTAATTGAGTTTCAATAAAACGTATTCATTGTGGTTTTAGGAACTTACGTTTTGACCCTCCTCTGACACTATAAAAACTTTCCCATCATCCGCAGCAGGTTCAACCACAGCCCAACATTTCCTATGCGGTTAATCATAATATTTTTTCAGAGTTCCTGAGTTTTGTTTTCTATGAGAGTGCCTTTTGTTATCAGCATCAAGCTCTCCATAACATCAGCAGCCCAGCAGCTTATGCATTCCCATCATGTACTACGAGTATAGAGTACTGAGTACAAAGCCGTAGATACAGATGGACTCGTTCCTATCCGAGGGTATGTGTTCGAGTATGTGCCGGGCCTCGACGACTGCTGCTCTCCCTGTTTCTCGTATCTGTCGTGTGCATCTCTTGAACTATCAATTTAAATGTCAGTTTAAATTGTAGAATTTTTCATTTCGTGGACTTCGTGCATGAAAACTATAAAAATGTTTTCATTGTTTTTCCTCTTCCTCGCTCACTCGCTTTGTGTTTTTGAGAACTTGCTTAGAGAAGGCTAAGGAACATAGCCAGGCTATAGCCAGGTGTGTGTGTGTACAGCGGGGGTAATATTTTTAATCCAGGATATAATAAACTAATATAAATTTCATAGAACATTTGTTAAGGTGTCGTTAAAATATAAGTTATTCTTATGTGTTTTAGCAACTGGTTTTTGTTAATACTTCTCAAGCACGATGTACCGTCATGATCTTAAAAAATGAATTTATAAAACATTTTTAAGATAATCAACAATAAAAGTTAGTCTAGCGACTAATTTAGGCTACTGGTTTTGGTTTTTAATGGCTTCTAGGCATGAGTTCCTTTTTGTAGAGCGAGTTTTTATGGTGTTTAATTTGATGGGTTTACTAATTCCAAACATTAAACTTAAAATTCTGTGAACTGTTTAGTTTTGAAAGTTCTTATAGTTTTGGCCATGGATTAAATATATAAAAAACTGATTCTAAAATATTCATAAATTCCTATTACTCTACCCCCTGCTGTTCATAACCATAAGTGTGTGTGTTGGTATAGAGATGTTTTGGCGATATGGCTTAGGCACAGAGACTCAAAGACCGAGACTTGCAGCCTGGTTCTGATTCAACTTGCGAGACTTTGAGACTTGGAGACTCCGTCTTTGACTCTGACTGCGACTCCTACTCCAAAACTTCGACTCTTTTCGTGTGTGACTTGTTTTAGATTTGTGCTCGAATGGGAGCTGGGGAGCTGCCGTTCAGCATTTGACAGCAGCTGTCAAAAAACGAAACTTGAAAGCGAACCGACCTCGGGGGCCCAAAAGCCTCTCTGCTGTGAGCAGCCCTCAGATCCAAAGTAAAAGTTGCAATATGTTTGTTTTGTTTCGTAAGTTTCTGCCTGGCCTGGCCTTTTTTGGCAAAGTTTCTCTTTTTGGCCGTTTTCTTACCTTTTTGCGTTGCCCAGTGCCAGAAGTCGTTGTTGTGATTTTCCACTGTAAATAGAAGAAAAAAAGGGGGGTAAATAAGAGATTTGTTAGGAATTTTCATTGGCTTGGTGGTGAGGGGAAATGGAAAGAAAACTTCATTTCTACTCTACAAACTAGAAAGAGAGAGAGAGAGATATCTTCCAGTGTGAATGAACACATCCATCAAGCGAATGCAACATTTTTATCGAGCTAAGGCAAACTTGAAAATTGTTTTTTAAACAAATCGAAAACATTTGGCCGACAGACATGGCCCATTAATTTCACATCTCAACTCATCTCTCTCTCTATCTGTTAGTCTTGTCTTGAATTTATGAGCCACGAATCTGGTTTCCATTGCGATGATAATTATAATTCAGAGCTTTGTTTTGCCAATTTTAATATCTGACACTAATTGCTGCCACCGTTTCTTTTTCGGCTTTCGGCTTTTGGCTTGAATCGATGCGATAATTGGTTGTGACTGGCCATCAATGGCCCGAATTAACTTGTTTACAATTAAAGTGTCATTAAGTCATTATCTATTGTGCGAAGTCTTGTTTCCCCCCCACCCCTCGTTTATTGTTATATTTTTTTTGGCTGTGTTTTCTTTTTTTGCAATGTGCCCTTGACACGAGCCCTGCCTGCCTGGCTGGCTTGCTGTTAGGGTCCTGAATCCGTGGGTTATGCTGAAGAGTGCCAAAGTCAATATGGGTTGGGCACTGCTCTCATGTGTGTGTCGAAAGTTGAAAGCAACCCCTGAGCTGTGTCTTCCACTGCTGTTGTTGCCATTTCAAATTGCCAATTATCGATGAATTTGCAAAAACACAAACAGACAGACAGCCGAAAAGGGGCGCGGCTGTTTTTGCAGCTTAAGCGGTTCAATATCTACAGAGATATATATATAGACTCGGGTATATATCTTTCCCTTTCCCTTTTCCTTTCACAATCCCCACAGGTCCTGTCAATATTTTGCTAGTTCATTTTTTCGCATTAGGGTTGGGTCTGCCTTTCCTGTTCGTCTGCTGAATTATGCAAATCAAATGGCACATATCGATGTCGGTTGCAATATTATTGCTGCAATTCAGCAGTTTAACCCCCTTTCAAAATGCAATCAACGTTGCGAGGAGGGGCCTTGCCTGTGCTGGCGTCCATTCAATTCAAGGAAGGCAAATACAAAAGTTGCCATAAATCCTGCTAAAGGATTACAACTTGATTTGCTGAATGGAAAATTGAATTTCGTTGACAGGTTTCTTTCCGGGATAGTTTTTAGTGTGGGCTTTCCTTTAAACTTTGCGAAAGTTTTTTAACAGCTGAGATTAAAATTTTAATTGGTGAAATTTAAATGAAAACTTTTGTTAAGTATCAAATTTTTTATAGATTTTTAGCAGAGCTTAACAGAGGACTTCTGTAAAAAGGTTGCAGTCTTTCCCATGAAAGGGTTTCCTGTAATTTAAAAGTATTCCTCGTCACATTTTCTTTAATTTATTTTGGCTTATTTACTCACCCATTTCTCTCCAAAATTTCCATAATATTTTTCCCAAAAACCGTTAGAAAACCGTGAAAAACATGTTTTCGCCTTCGCCCTACTTAATCGCTCCCTTGGCAACCGAACTGATTTTGAAATCGGAGACCAACGGCGGCAGCTGGTTGAATGTCGATACCGCGCCACGCCCTAAGATTTACATATGACTGCGCCTGTCAATTGCCATTAAGCAGCCAGCGAAACTTTGGAGAAGAAATCAGAGGAATACAAAAAAAAAATCGGTTTTCTTAATAGATTTCGTTCTTTAGTTTTTTTTCTTTATAGACTTTTCTCGGGGACTTGAAAGGCGGTGCGGCGCATCGAATTGAATGGAAATGAAAGGAAACCCTAAGCAAACAGGGCAAGTCCTTTCGTTTTCTTGTTTTTCTTTTTTTCAAGAAAAGAGTAAGTAAGAATTAATTCAGCAGTAAATGGAATTTGGGGAGGGAATGAGAGTTGCGGCTGCTGCTATTTAACATTCAAATTACAAATCCTTTTTTTTTTTTATGACAAGCCAAGATGAAGGGTTCGAAGGCCGAACGAATCGTTTATGGACCTGGAGGGGAAACCCTCTTTTCCTTGGCTCTACTCATTGACTTCAGCCGCTTGAACTGCCAGCCAGCATCACCATCATCATCATCATCATCGTGATGTTGATGAGAAAAACCTTCGTCCTGGGTCCTTGTCTGTATTTGGGATGCAACTCATTTGAATATCTATCTCTCTGCGTAGCGCGTATCTTTCGAGTCTTTGGCGAATGCGTGAGAAAATTGTCAGCATATTGATTCGATGATTATCAAACAGTTATGCGCATATTTAATTGTCCTGTCCCCTCGCAATTTATTCGAATTTGTTGCATTTGCATTTGGATTTGGATTTGTATTTGTATTTGTATTTGTATTTGCATGCGCAGTTTGAGCTAAGTTTAAGTGCAAATAATATACGCATCGAGAGAGGCTGAGTTTTGTTTAAATATTTGAACAGCTTTCGGTTGATTGACAAGCCGCAAGTTTTCACTAACTTCTGCTTAGGCAGATGTTTTCCTTTGCCTGGGAAGTTCGGGCTCACCTCTCCTGATTAGATGCTTAATTAGGCAAGGCGCGGTTTTCCAGCCTTCCATTTGCTGACCTTAAAAAAGGATCAAATGGTCGCTCTGCACACGCTGCTATCTAATTTTCTTTTTCTGACCGCCCCTCTTCCTCCTCCTCTAACTCTTTTTTAATGCCTTTCTCCCGCCTTTCGCTGGGTTTTTCGCCGCTGCTGCCACCCGCTGGGCGCTTTTTGGCACCAAACAAATTGGGGAGTTGCTCTCCAGGCGGAGCAACGACAACGTGATGGATGTCGTCCCACTAGAACGCCACAAAACAGGGGAAACCTCAGCCCAGAAGTGTACTTTAAAAAATATTTAGAATTTTTTAAGTTTTAATAAAATATTTCTAAGTTCAAAAATTATATCTTAAATAAGCAGAAAAGTAAGAATTTATATATAAAATTTTTTAAAAATAATTTAAAATTTATTTTTCCCAGTGCATAGCTAAAATTCCTAAACCAGACCGAAAGTTTCCCGTTCGGCTGCTTGTGGCATGTTTGCTTGTTTGGCTCTTTTAGCCCCGGCATTAATCAGTCGGTGGTGCGTCTGACATTGTCAGAGAAAGGAGAGAAATAGAGAAATAGACATGCCGAGAAGCGGAGAAAAAGCGGAGGAAACGGAAGGGTGCACGTCGGAGGGATCTACTTATTATTTCAGTGTAATTAATAAAGATTAAACGTTGTGACACGGCTAGACTGACTAGAATGCTCCCTCCCGAAAAGGGACTTGGACTGGGAAAACTCTCTAGTCTTTCTGCTCTGTAATTTTCATCAGCATTTTCTCGTTAGTATTTGCCTGATTTGTCCTGCTCGTGACAGTTGCCATATTTAAGCAAATAACAAGCGTCTAAAGATTAATGGCCAGAAGTTCGCTTTAGTTTTAAGGAGAATACATTAAAATATCTTAAAGTTTAAAGTTTCCTAAACTAAATAGATTTTTTTCCATTAAAAAGTCTACGCTGGATCATAAATATCCAGTGATCCCATTAAAGCAACATAAAATCGCATTATGTTGATCATAAATTTTCAGCTGAGAGATCACAGCTCTGATCTTTTATGCATTCCTTGGCTTGGGATCGGTTTTCAGTTTTTTAGCTTCGAATTTATATATATTTTTCAGCTTGCATAAAATTTGATAAACAAACTAATAAACATAAACTAAGATTAATGCATTCATATATCACTCAATGAACTCAAATTTGGGTCATCAAGTGCAGTCGGTCTGTTATAGTTTCTGTCTCTCTGTCTTGTCTGTCCCTCTGTCGGGTTTTGAGTTTGTATCTATGTTCGGCGAGAGGGTGCTGCCTGCCCCACTCGTACTTATGCTTAATTGCACTGGTAATTAATAATGTTATTTATTAGACAAACATGGGCTGCTCCTCTTTGCCTGGATGACCTCACCATCAGAAAATTGTGTGTACATGCACGGGGAGAAAAAGTGATAGAACTTTTGGTATATAAAGATAAAATTTTGTAGGAATTCTGAAAAATGTTTGGCTAATAGAGGAAGCCCTTCTAAAGTGTTAAATAATTTAAATAATATTTTAGAATATTTAATAAATATTTTATAAATGTTTTTAATTCATTTTAGTTTTCTATATTTAAGAAATAATATTTTTAAAAATATTTCCTTGCTAAAAATCATTATTAATCCATGTTAAGGGCAATTTTCTCTCTCTGTACCTTTGTGTGACTCGTGCTCCTCTCTAGATGTGTGTCATTAAGTAAATTAAGTAAATAAACATATGCCCGCTACTAGAAAGGGGGAGGGGGGCTGGCTATATAGTAGTTCTGAGGGAGAGGGCAGGATCGAGTGAGTGAGAATGAGCGACTTTGGGCATAATTAATTGCCAGTCAGCCGTTGGCCTCGTTGAAGTTGAAGTTGAATTTTACCCCCGCTGAAGCAGACAGCTGCCACCAACCAAAACTCCCCTTCCCCTACCCCCCTTCTACAACCAAACTACCCGACACTGTCCGTTTTTTATCTTTTCCGAAACGCGTTAGTTTTTGCGCCCTTTAACTTTTTGGCTAAGTGAAGTGACCAGCCCCGAAACTCCTTTCTGGCCTTATGCGCATTTCAACGCCTTCATTTGCATGCGTTTTATGGCTTAATAGTGCCCCGCCTTATCTGTTGCAAATTTTCAGTCAATAGATTAATGATAAGCCCCCCCCCTTTCCTTCCCCCCTCTCGTACCACATTTGCATTTCATTTGCGCCCCAAAAAGAGTAAACCAGTTGGAAGGAAATTCCTTCGGGTGCCCTGCCAAAAAATAAAAGAAGGTAGAAAGTTGTGTTCTTTTTCAGCTTTTGCTTTTGGCCTCTTGCTGTGTTTTTTTTTTGTTATTTTTCAGTCAGCTTCCGCGTTGCCTTTTCTTAACCTTTCCCTGGGGCCATGTCTGCCGCACCTCATCAAGGGCAG